GTTTATTACAGATATGGTCTTTCCATGACTGTTACCACGATTCCCCCAAGAAGGGAGCAGAGCCCCCTGATGGCCTGGGCACCCCTGCACAGCTTCTTGTAATGATGTCTTCACCAGCTACGCCTGCCCAGCTGTTGGCTCCATCAGGCTTGTGCACTTGAGGTCTCCATATGCTTTCAGGTCCATTTCAAGCCATGACACTGTCCCTGTCCCACAGAAGACAAAAGCCACCCAGCTCTCCAGTTGGCCACTCCACTTTCCTTCCTTTCAGTCTGCTCCGTGCTCCTGAGTTCCTTTATCCTCTGAGCCTGAAGAGCTCTGCTTGGGTCTTTCATTTCGTATTTTACTGCCAAGCAATGCCCCCCCCAGCCCCCCACCCCGTCTCTGTGAGGGTCTTTATTTTCAAAGGGTTCTTTGGAAAAGAGTCTGGGTTGCAAATTGTTTTCTTTCAGCCTGTTAAATTTGTTATTTCATTTTCTGCCTGTTTGGTCACTTCAGTTGAAAATTGAGCTTTCAGCATTGTCTTTTGTTAGGTCATGTGTGTTTTCCCTTGGACATTTTGAAAACATCCTTCTTTGTCTTTTTGTTTTAGCAGTATTACCATACCAAATGTGCAAATGTGCTTTGCCTTTTCATTTTCCTTTAATTTGTTTGTGATTCATAGGTTTTCTTTAGTCTTTGACTCTGGTCTTTTGTCGTTTTGAAAATTCTCAGCTATTACCTTCAAATCCTCCTGTGCCATAGCCTCTCTTTAGCACTTCAGTCACACCCTCTTTATATCCTCAAGGTGCCCTTGTTTCTATGCTGTTTTGTTTTTTCTTAATATGTCTTTCTGTTTTTCACATGAGAATATTTTTCTCATAAAACTCTTACTTATAATAATAATAATAATAGTAAAAGATGTATATGTATGTGTGTGTGTGTGTGTGTGTATGCATGTGTGTATGTGTGTGTAACTAGTCTTTCTATGCACTGTCAGCTCCCAGTACACGGAGTGCTGACAGAGACTTATTATTAATTATGAAAGCTCAGCCTTAGATTAGGCTTGCCCCACTAACTTCTATAATTTAAATTAACCCATTCATATTAATCTACATTTTTTTTTCGAGACAGGGTGTCTCTGTGTAGCTTTGTGCCTTTCCTAGAACTCACTTGGTAGCTCAGGCTGGCCTCGAACTCACAGAGATCCGCCTGGCTCTGCCTCCCGAGTGCTGGGTTTAAAGGCATGCGCCACCACTGCCCTGCTTAATCTACATTTTTGCCTCTCGGCTTTTTACCTTTCTTTCCCATTCTGTGTGTCCAATTCATTCAGTGTCTCTCTCATTCCTAGATTCATCTCCTCTTCCTGGAAATCCCGTCTATACCTCCTGACTAGCTATTGGCCATTCAGCTTTTTGCTACACCAGTCTATAAATATTCCGTGTGTGTGTGTGTGTGTGTGTGTGTGTGTGTGTGTGTGTGTGTGTGTGTGTGTGATTGTGGGTGTGCATGTGGTGTGCATTCTTGGCACAGCATCCATGCAGAGATCAGCTTTTGGAAGTCTACTTAAGCAGAGTCCAATGGTCTGTGAGGTCTTTCTGTCTATAATTTACCTGTTTGACTCCATTATTCTGCAACTTCCTCATCTTGGAGCTGTTGCTAACTACTACTTTTTCTCTAGTGCAATAATAAAACTAGCCATCAGTAATGAGTAGGAAACATACTTCTAGAGTCAAAATAAGTGCTTTGGATGTATTCTCTGATAGAAAGAATTGTTTATCTCACCTTTTGATATATTTATAAAATATTTTATTATAAAATACAATCTTTTTGTTTGTCCAAATATTATAGGACATCTAATATTTTATAAATATATGTGTATTTATTCAAGTATGTACCTATAAAGCACATATGCATACATATGTATTTTGATTTTATAAGTTTTGTATAGTTTTCTTGGCATGATGGTAAGTCTGACAAAATCTACACCATTGAGATATGTATATATTCACACAAGAACATTCTGTCCATGTTCCTACAAGATTCCCCCATCTAAAAGCTGGTACTGGCCTTGGAAATTACCTCTGAAATTCAAGTATCAATATGGAGAAGTCTAGAACAAAACCAAGACGAAAAAACATTAATTTTGGTAAAATTAATACAATCTAAAAGCTTTTCTAATAAAAGCTTGAGTTATGAAAGGGTGTTTAAGTCTGCTTGATCATCAATTTATCAGATGTTTTAAAATTCTTTTTAGGGTTTCAAAAGTTACATCTTCATCCCTCTTGGGGCAGAGACCTCAATGCACCAGGCTCACATAGGATGTGAGGAAAGCTTGTAAACAGAAATGAGTGTATTCCTCTGACTGTGTGCATCTCACAACATCTCTCTATTGCTAAGACATGAGAAAGAGCACACAGGAGACTGGGGCGATACCATCCTTTGCACATGAGCCTGCTTCAAAGAGGCCATGGCCGAGCACCTCAGCAGGCAATGCTAAGTACTGGCACTCACGTTGGCCGTTGGCCCTGATGCCCAGTACCGTGGACACACCCTAGAAAGCCAGACTGCGATCCCCACAAGTCCCCTAGTAGGCAGTTATGAAATGCTTCTAAAATAACTCATCATCACATCTGCCTAATTGGAAACACTCCTGGGCGATTTTCTATGTCTAGCACCACGGCAGCCCTAAGCAGTGAGGGGAGGCAGTGAGTAACCGGCGGGAAGGGCTGAAATCGACAGATACTGAGGGCACGAGAGTCCCCTGTACAGCTGTTGTGTTAGGAACAATGGAACCTTAATTTCAGAGTAGCAGCCCCGAAAGTAAGAAGAAAGACAACAACAGACTGCTCGGTGCTAATGGCCAGTATGACGGCCCGTTTCTCCTCTCCTGCTCCACATCTTCATTTTAAAGAGCAATTTCCGGTGACTCATTCTAGGCACCGAATTAGATCCTCTGGAGGTGGGTCCCAAGAATCTTCAATTTAGGAAGCCCACCAGGTGATTCTTATGCACATTAAACTTGAAAACAACTGACAGAAATTAGAAGACAACCGCACTGACCACAAGGAACGTCTGTTGTTGGGGAACGGGGCTGACTCACTCTTCCGCTGTTCAATCTTCAGTTGGGTTTTTGTAAATAATGTTGCTTTTGTTTATACGACAGCTTTTCGTTTCTGCTTGGTGTTCTGGGAATCCGTCTGCAGGAAAACCCTTGGATGTACTGTCGATGTATTTTGGAAGAAAATACTTGGCTGTGTTTATCCAAGTGAAATTAAAAAAGGCTGAAGATTGAGATGCCAGGGAATGAAACAAAATTAACATTAACATTTATATTTAGGGCCAAAACATGTGCTAGTGAACAAGAAACATTTTGGCAGCATTTAAGACATAGCTGAAGGTAGCAGGAGTGATTCCAAGATCTTTGTGCAAATTGAAGTTCATAAACTACTAGATAGTCATCCCCATTATCTTCACCATCTTTACTCCCATTCCACCACCATCACCCCCACATCCCCATCTCCATCATCCCACTTGTCCTCATCCCCCTTCCCATCACCATCATTTCCATCACCGTCATCCCCACTGTCCTCCTTCCCATTCTCATCTCCATCATCCCTATAGTCCTCATCCTTATTCTCATCACCATCATTCCCATAGTCCTCATCCCCAATCCCATCGCCATCATCCCCACTCCCATCACTATCCCCACAGCCTCATCCCTATTCCCATCACCATCATCCCTGTCTTCCTCACCTCCATTCCCATCACCATCATCTCCACCATCGTCACTCCCATTTCCATCATCATTATCCACACATCCCCTCCCCATTCCCATCATCACCATCACCATTGTCACTGTCATCAATATTTGTTCTGGGCACCCCCTTGCAACTAGCTCCCTTGCATATGCCCTCTCATTACGCTCTCAGAAGAGTGTACATAGCTTCAGGCTAGAGCTTCTTTCTCATAATAAAATCCTCTTAGTCCCTGTTCAATATTCCAATTCCATCGAGACTCATCTTCTCAATTGGTTGTGCTAGCCAATTGGAAGTTATCCATGACTGCCCCCCCCATTCCCCATTGCCTCCATATCTTCCAATAACACTGTCTGGTCTTGTGAGTTACATCTACTGACTCAGAAAACCATAAAGACACTCAGAAGTACAGAAGAGGAACAGTAGGAGGCCAGTAGTACCTCATTTACACACAAGCTTGTTAGCACCAAGTTCAAACACCTGGCATTATCTCAGATAACACAAAAGACAAGGAAATGGGCACTTGGAGATAATTTTAATAAATGACAGCAGGTGGCTTAAGGTGGCTATTGTTATATTCCTACTGGTCATCATAAATACTGCTTAACAGCCCACTTTGCATGGATACTCCCATACACATCCCATTTGGACAGAGGTTAACTGTATGGAAACCTTCCACTGCTGTGAGCAGGTATATATCCAAGGCTTCACTGGGTATGCAGCCTTCCTTCCAAAGTTTGTCTTAAGAGTTTGATTCATAGACTACATGCCCCTCTTAGCTTTTTCTTACCTTGATTCTTGGTTGTTTTCCTGAATTTGGTGTGTGAAAGTAAGATATATTACCTAACGTTGCTATAGTGAACATGGGGATAGCTGATCCTGTTCTGAATGTCAGTTAACTTGATAATGCTCTCTTCAGATACACAGATATGGAGAGAAATTATTGGAAGCACATCACATTGCAAGGCATATTTATAGATGCTCTCAAGGCTGAAAATAAGTTGTCCCATATCACAATTTGAATTTCCATGTAACAGAGCAGGGCTAATGGTAATCATTTAAGTCGTTAGAAAAGATGGCCCATTTGCATATCTCTGCTACTTCTATTTTCTTTTGTCTACACACACAATAATAATAATAAATGAGAATTTTATGAACACACAAAACACAACATGTACCATAATTTATATATTAAACAATGACAAATGATAAGAAATACACAATATGAAAACATATTGTATTTCAACTGTGTACTTTATTGACCATCATGTAAAAAAGCTCATCTCTCAGTTAAGATGATCGCCTTCTCAGGTTATGTGTTGCTCTACCAAGTCCATCTAATGACTTGGAAAGATGAGTTTGTCCCTCCCAGTAGTTTTCAGCTACTCCCACAGGTTGCATTAGGCTGTTTCATTGGATGTACTGATTCTCATCTGTTCCATGTGCCTGTGAAGATATGAATTTGGCCTGATTTACACCATCACATGAAAAGAGCCTCCATGGTCTTTAACTGCTCATATTATGTGTAGCTTGATGTCTATTGAATCACCCATATACCATCTTAGAAATCTGAATATCAGGCCTGGAGATACAGCTCAGTGGTTAACAGTGTTTACTGCTTTTGCCAAGGGCCTGAGTTCACTTCCCAGCATCCACGTGGGGCATCTCACAACCGCATGTTACTCCATCTCCCAAGGATCAGAACCCCTTTTCTAAACTCTGTGGCTATCTGCACATGCATGCAGGTACTCACTAACAGACGCACATATACACATGACTTAAAAGTAATTCTATGTCAAGCTGCATCACTGCATGAGCTGTGCCTTTCAGAGCAAGGTAGTCAGGAATTGATCTTGATCTCATGAAGCCCAGAAGGATGAAACATCCCACCATGATTTAGACCTGCTGGTGCTGTGCCTTGACCTCCACCAAATCCCATGTAAAAACGTGGCTTCATAGGGACAGAGGAAAAAAAAAACACTTTGGTAAAATAAAATGGAAGTTATATTTAAAACAATAATAATAGCAATAATAAGATTAAAAATCTCATCATCAGAGTTGTATTATTATGTACAGTCATAGCTATAGCATTTATAGATTTTATCCTAGCAGGAAGCACATGTCCTCGGGAAGGGGCAGCCATTACTACCAACTTTTCCAGTGTTTCCCTGGAGTGACACCAACTGAGTAGAATGAAGCTGAGAAGGGAAGCCTCAGTTAACGAAACAAAAGTCACCCTCCACAGTTCTTTGTTTACCATTTTCCTCTATCATTCACCTTCACAGCTTTAGTCATGTCTATCTTATTCATCAGGAATAACTTCGAACTCAGAAAATTTTCCGTTCCTTCTCTCCTCCCTTGTCCTATTTTTCATATTATTTTCATTAGTCTTATCTCCCCTAACCTAGAAGACCTAGACAATTGCAAATCTCCCAGGCCTATCCACATGACTCCCCATATTAAACTATAATGAAACCACTATTTGCTCACACTGTCTGTCATCTATTCTATGGAGTGAGGAGGTGTTTATGCTTCCATAGTTTCCGTCATCTTAGCAGCTATTACTATGCTCTGTTGAATCTAAACCAGTGGTTCTCAACTAGTGGGTCATGACCTCTTTGGGGGTCAAATAACCCTTTCACGGGGTCACCTAAGACTATCAGAAAATCCAGATATTTACATTACAATTCATAACAGTAGCAAAATTACCATTATGATGTAGCAACGATGCTGTGGGATAATGCTCTTGTACACTGGTTTAATAAACCGCTGATTGGCCAGTGGCCAGGCAGGAAGTATAGGCGGGGTGAGCAAATGAGGAGAATGATGGGAAGAGGAAGGGAGGAGGAGTCTCCAGCCAGATACAGAGGAAGCAAGATGACAAGGCAGAACTGAGAAAAGGTACAAATCCACGTGGCTAAATATAGATAAGAATTATGGGTTAATTTAAGTTATAAGAACTAGCTAGCAAGAAGCCTGCCATAGGCCATGCAATTGGTAATATAAGCCTCTGAGTAATTATTTTGTAAGTGGCTGCAGGACCGTGGGCTGGGCAGGACCAGAGAAAACTCTGGCTACACAACAAAAATACTTTTATGGTTAAGGTTCCCACAGCATGAGGAACTGTACTGAAGGCTCCCAGCATTAGGAAGGTTGAGAACCACTGCTCTACACAATGAAACATCAGATTCTGTCTATGAAGTCACTATTTATTCTGAATCCTGGTAGTTTGTCTCTTCACTCTATTAATCAGAGGATACATAGCTGAACATCTTTTCATGATCTTGAGACAAATAAGCCCTTGAGAGAGGGCGACTTTCAGTAGGATTTCAATTCAAGGTGGCTACAGAGCCCAAAACCTGGTGGTGAGAGGGCAAAGATTCTTCTCTATCTCAGTAGGGGAATGTGAGTCCTACATTGAGGCAAGAGGAGGTTCAAGATACTCTGGCAGTGCTGTGGCTGCTCAGGTGACTGGTGGCTCAGCTGTTGCTCTGGGCACTCTAACCTGAGCTAAGAGGAAGCTGGACTTTAAGCCTCTGTGTCCTCTTACGACAATCCAGGTAGATGAGATTGGCTTGTGTTTCCTGCAGTGATACCTATGACTGCAAATGGAATGTCATGTTGAAGAAATAAGGGGCCTCAGGCTGTGCCATCAAAACATTGGCCAAAATTGTTAAGGAAGACAGTCCAGTGGTGAGGAAAGTGAGACTAGAGTCTGAGATCCAAAAGACAGCCTCATGGTCCCTGCAGGTGCATGGCCTCTGTGTCTACTGCAGCCTCATGGTCCCTGCAGGTGCATGGCCTCTGTGTCTACTGTAGCCTCATGGTCCCTGCAGGTGCATGGCCTCTATGTCTACTGCAGCCTCATGGTCTCTGTGGGTGCAAAGCTGATCTGCCTACTGCAGCCTTATAGTCCCTGCATGTGCATGGCCTCTATGTTTACTGTAGCCTCATGGTCCCTGCAGGTGCATGGCATCTATGTCTACTTTAGCCTCATGGTCCCACAGGTGCATGGCCTCCATGTCTACTGCAGCCTCATGGTCACTGCAAGTGCATGGCTGATCTGCCTACTGCAGCCTCATGATCTCTGAAGGTGCATGGCCTCTGTGTCTACTGTAGGTTCATGTTTCCTGCAGGTGCATGGCCTCTGTGTCTACTGCAGCCTCATGGCCCTTGCAGGCACATGGCTGCTCTGTCTCCTATATGGGGGAAAACAGCTGCTTTGCAGTAGTGTTGGGATGATGGGCTAGGACAGAGCATGGAACATCCTGGACAAATGCAGGTCCGTTCCACATGATGCATAAATGTTTGACTTTTATTCTCATGCTGCAGGAAGTTAGAGAGTGTGCCAAGTCTATAATTTAGTAGTGTTGGAAGTTCTCAGAGACTCGAGTGGAACGGCATAAAGTTTTAGTTAGACTAAGTGAATGAAAACACACGAGGGATGTTAAAACAGCAAAAACAGTGTGGGGGTTCTGCATATGAAGGACTTTATTTTATAATGTGAGGTGGGATAAAAGGAATCCCAGTTGGCAAACTGTATCTGAATGTCACCGGGGTTGTATTTAGTGAGACATCCACAGCTAAAGTCATCTGTGTTAGGTTTATAGCCTGAAATACACCCAGAGTTCCAAGCTAGAAAACAGAGCCAGAGGCATCAGAGTTATTTACTCAGACATTTTTGTATCTTTGAAAGAAACAACCACAAAGTGGGTTTATTCGAAAGCAAATATCATATGCAAAATGATAAAATTCCAAAACCAAAACTGTAATGGTAAATACCAGACATACCGGGAAACTTTTGTGCTCTTTACCTAAGGTGATATTACACAGGAATGATTGTCGCATCTAGCTGCTTCCTGGCAGATAAGCCTGAAATAGTTTCATTTTCCCATTTTCTTCCCTTTAAAAATCAGCAGTATAAACTTGTGTTAGTCAAACTTCCTTCTCATTGCCACAAAAACCACAGCACCGTCTGAGATGTCCCACACGGCAGCCACCAGTGGCACATGGCTCTCAGCCCTGGAACTGCAGCTAGTGAGACCCAGGGACCCAGAATTTAACTGATGAATTTTCATTTATGTTAAAAATGGTTCTCACTTAGATTGCTGGAAAAACAACTCACATCAGAGCAACCATGATATATAACACTACTTCTAAAGCTATTGGGATCAATATTATAAATCTAGGTAGAGATTAAGTATTTCAATTAAAACGTAGCTCTCAAATTAAGCTGCTCTGTAAGTTTAAAATCCACACCAGATTTCAATGCTTGAATGTGAAGAAAATAAAAGAACAGTCAATTATTTCCTTAAAATCATTTTGAACTACTGTTGCTTTGGAACTTGTGAGATGGTGAATTAATAAAATACATTATGAAAAATTGATTTCATTTCTATTTTTTTTCATATGGGTACCAGAAAATTAAAACTCCCATTTTCCTGAGATGATGTTCTTGTCACCAAGTCTCAGACTCCTCAGAGGACAAGAAAGGATAAATCTTAGAAAAAGTGTATATTTTCTTGTAAATTGTCCCAGTGAAATATAGCTTGATTAGCACAACTCAGACACCAAATGCCAACTTACAATGACCTGTACTAGAATGTAATCTACTTCCTCACTTTAGGGGGAAAAGAGTCTTACTCATTCAGCCTGTGTCTCGTGAGGGAATTTGAAAGTCAAGGTATTTTTCCCTGTTACTGTGTCAAGGAAAACATTGTTTATGAATATCTAGAGTACAGGGACAGATGATGCCTACAAGCATGCTCACAGGCTCATACTCAGCAGAGGCCTACCTGCCTAGGGAATGTTCCACCCACAGTGGGCTGGGCCCTCCCACATCAGTCATTAATTAAGACAATCTCTCAGAGACATTACCACATTCATTCTGATCTAATCAGATCTCTAGGTTGTGTCAAGTTGACAATAAAAACTAACCAGTACAAAGGTTTAATAGATAGTTATTTGTTTTTTTTTGAAAATCATTATAGATTATGTATCATTTGTTCCTGAACAGGAGTCCTGCATTGTAGATAGTCTGTTTTTTCATATTCTGACCCAATCAGAGCACCATATACATAGAATGGCACATGTTCCACCATGCAGAATTTAAATCTCATTTAGAATTTATTTCACTTGATAAATTAGCATTATTTTAGAGCTAAATCAAATGCCAAGATTATCTTGAAGAAACATTCTATCCCATCAGATGCTGAATTTTCTGCTATATTTTCTAAGAACTGCTGAATGGTTAGCAATCTGCTCTATCAAATAGTCAGTCTCCAGCCTTCCAGGACTGATGACACATGCCAGGCAGAGTTCAGCTACTGAGTATTAAGTGCATATATGAAGATTTAATTTAATCTATGCAGAAAAAGATTAATAATAGAAATGGCCAAACACTGTACAGTGAATCCTTGTTTTTTTTTTTTTTTTTTGGTTTGTTTGTTTTTGCTAGTCACTCTGCGGCTCATGCTGGCCTGAACTTCCTCGGTAGAATAGCCTGGTATCAAACTCAGGGCAATTTTTCTGCTTTGTAATTCCCAGCCTTCTATGCCCTATGATTGTATAGTGAGACTCCATGCCTGGGTGGTAGAGTGAATTCCTACACGCCAATTATAAAGATTCACACCAACTATCATGGTTTTTCTAATTTTATTCCACCAGTGTCTCTAAAAGTAGTCTTTTCTAGTATAAGGTATCAATTTTTCATCTGTAAATAGTCTGATTAATTTTTGTTTAATCAAGCACTATACCATTATGCACCTAACATTTGTTACTTAATTCATATTACACATAAAATCATCATTTAAAAAGACTGGTTTGTTTGAAGCAGGGTACAATAAATTCTCTCTCCCTTCCTTTCTTCCTTCCTTCCTTCCTTCCTTCCTTCCTTCCTTCCTTCCTTCCTTCCTTCCTTCCTTCCTTCCTTTCTCTTTCTTTCTTGGCAGAGTTAGGGATCAAACACAGGCTTCCTGCATACATGCTAAGCAGTCACTCTACCTTGAGCTATACCTAAATCTAGTTATATTTCCCCACTACCTTTGAGGACTGTTACTAGAGTTAGCTACCTCTGGCACTTTATTTAGAGATGTGCCATGGGCACAGTTGCATGTAGATGGTTAATGTAGCACTTTTACACCAGATAGGCCTGATTTCTCCTAATACGTGGTGGGTAAACAAACAGTGTGATCTGTTGATTTTGTTGAATAGTTATTTAGCTTTACAACTAGTTAAAACTTGTGTGACTTAGTAAAGAAAAGAAAGATGGGGAGATAAAAATGGAAGGTAAAAGGTAAAGGCAGCTCGGCCTGGGGATTTTCAACTGCCTTCTGTTTCTTTACATGGACATGACTATGCGTCTTGATTTTGTCTCTTCAGCAAGAACAAAGGGAATTAGAGCTGGAAAACAAAACAGGCTTCAGAGCATTTAAAAGCATCTTATGCTAGAGAAAATGAGCTAACAGGGATGATGTAGGGGAGAGTCAATTTAAGCGGTAACTGATCCTGACTTCCTGGAATGTTTCCCTCATTCAGCACGAAGGCCTCGGACCCTCTATAATTCATGGAAATGCATGTGCCATGGTACAGTCTTAATCTGGAAAATTTGGGGGAAGGGTGTGTGGTGACAAGGGTCTTCTTAAAACTTACCTCTATCTTTATTGGTCAGGCTTTTTCTGAGACAAGCTTGAGCCACCTGGATGTCGGCCTTTGATGGAGTTCTCCAGCTCCAGGAAGAAGTGACATCTCTCAGAGCATGGTTGATGGCCACCTGAATCGTTGTCATAGTTTGGGTGCTGCATGGAACCCAGAATCCTGTTAACTCTTTGTTGATGTTGTCTTTGGACCATCTATTCTTTGTCTAGCTGCCTTGTGTATGTAGATGCTCGTGTGTGTGTGTGTGTGTGTGTGTGTGTGTGTGTGTGTGTGTGTGTGTGTATGCACACATGCACACATATACCCTGTCATCACACCGTGTAATTAGTAGTGATGCTAATGGATGGTGACTAGATAATAACAGAATACTGAGGGTTTTAACAGCCCCCACATAACCATAAAACCTATATTTTGTTTTCTCTAAAAGGCTAGAGCTGTGAAATATTGTATTTTATTGTATTACTGTATTGTATTGTATTCACAAGACTTATATTATTAATGATTTAGTGGGCACAAAGACAAGAGCCTGTATCCCATTATTCTGGAGGCTGAGGCAAGAAAATTATGAGTTCAAGGCTAACCAGGGCTACATAGAGAGTTCCAGGCTGGCCTATTAGGCTTTGTCTCCATAAGCTAATGACTCACTACTAACTGGCTACCTAGCTAGACAGACAGATACATGATGGAGAAAAGAAAAAAAGGAAGAAAGACAGATTTGAAGGATTGTTAGATGCCAGGGCAGTCTATATAGCTTTTTCACAGCCAATTCCGTGGAGTTTATTTGTCCTTAATTCTATTCCTTTCAAACTCTGTTCTGGGGAGCTGTGTGGAATACTAAAGGGCTTAGTAAAGCCAGGGCATTTATTAGTGAAGATCCTATTTCTCAGCACATCTTCCATGACTCCATGTCTTCATATATGTGAGTATTTCTAGTTCTTACCAGATTCAGGCATTTGCTTTAGATTTCAAGGCTTTAAAAACCTTTGCAATGTCCCTCTCCACCTTCTCATGTTTTTAACAAAATCATACATCAAAGGAATCACCACATTTCCTATATTACACCTCCTTATAATGTACAGAGAAAGATTGGAACAGACGATGAAAATCTGGAGTCCAAATTTTGGAAGCTCACTAAACCCGGGTAATCCCACCTCCGATGAAAGACGTCTGTCCGCAAGCCTGAAGATCATTTGCTGAGGTCTAATCTAAGGATCAAAAGGCCTAAGACTCAGAGCTACAGTGAAAGACAAGGACAGAATTATTAAACATGACAGTATTTCATCAGAAAGATTAATTATTTACTGTAGAACCCAAGGACTATCATGAAATTAAAATCCATCAACCCTTTTCATTTAACCACGACCAAAAGCTGCCCCATAAACAGAGAACAATTTGGTTCTTTTTTTTTTCAGTTTTTGTCTTTGAGTTATAATTGCTGATGACAATTGCATTCTTTCTATAAAGAGATTAGACATAATATAAATTTTGCCACAGTAAGCCATTGTTATTGACTGACTTGCTGGAACTTAATAGCTATTTTTTGTCAAAATATTCCATAATTTTTCTCATACATAGAATCTTTATCTACACAAATACGAATTACTTACACACACACACACACACATATATATACATGTATATATATGTATAAATATATTCGTGACACAGATATACATATATGTGACAAGAAAGCAGAACCAGAGTGAGGAAGAGAAGAGAGTGGGGGGCAAATATGAGCAACCATATATATGCATGAAAATTCCTCAATGAAATTCATTTGTCCTACAGTAAGAATTAAAACGATTTCCCCTTTTCACATTATGAAAGGACTAGATGTGCAAGTAGAAGATGTTATAAAGGAAAAAAGGTAAAGTTATTACTGTAATCTCACCATGGCCAACAAAGATGCTCTTGCTTTGAAGATGGCTGCATAGTCATGGCCAAAGGAAACAGCTGTAAGGAGTGTAAAGATGCACACCCTTTCTCCAATGCCCACCAATCAGGAGTGTGAGGATGCACACCCTATCCCTGATGCCCAGCTGTGAGGAGGATGAGGACACACACCCTATCCTTGATGCCCAGGTGAAACAGACCCAAGGACATTGTGAATTTATCAAGTCAATCCCATCTGCCGCTGACTGCCTGAAAGTAAGCTGATAAAAATAAGCTCTTTATAAAAAAAATGAGTAATATTTTAGGCCAGGCATGGCAGCATACACTTTTGGTCTCAGCACTTGGGAGGCAGAGACACGTTGATCTCTGTGTATTTGAGGCCAACTTGATCTACAGAGTGAGTTAAAAAAAAAAAAAAACTAAAAAAAAATTTTGACTAAAATTTTATACCTGCATAATTGAAAGAATGTCCATATGTTTACAACTGTAAGAAACTTGAATTCATCCTGATTTTCTCATACTCACATACAAATATCACTTCATGTAGGGCTTCTAATCACACATATTTTATCAAGTATTTATAGCTCATGGTTTGTATTGTGGACCATAGAGATCAAAATATAGAAATTAAGTAGATTCATTAGAATTTAGAAAGTAACAAATTCATTAAGATATGATGTTATAATTAATCATCCAACCATGAATGTCATAGTAACCTTTGCTTTGTGTAGTAGGCATACACTTAAAATAGTCCTTTACATGTTGCCTTTTCAAATAACTTACGTTAAGGCATACCCATACCCTGCATGCAACAGGACACAGTCCTTTAAATATCCCATTTGGTGAGATCTGAAAAATGTTCAACCACCTACATGTGAAATACGTGTGTGTGTGTGTGTGTGTGTGTGTGTGTGTGTATCATCCAGGTGGAAATCCAACGTTCTCATCTTTACCAGAAGATTCTTGGTGTCTTTAGCAATCAAGCCCTCACACAGGCCTTGGTGTGAGGCACTCTTGTGCTCTCTGTGCTATTAGTAGGTTTTGTTTGTTCTCTTCCTGTACACAGAACCAAGCAGGATGCATGCTGTGCTTTTCTGTGGGGCTTTGTGTGTTCTGCCTGCTGTTTTGGTGGTGAATGTGTCAGAGGGTATTCCCTGTAACCGCAGAGCATATTTCACGGTGCACTTACAACACACGCTCCAGTTCTCTGCTTGGTGACATTGGCTTGTTTTCAGTCTGTGGCTGTTACTTACAGAGCCTATGTAAGTATGCATATAGGAATTATTTACTTACAAGTGGAATTATGTCTCTTGGGTAAACAATGGGGTGTGTGGAGCTCTAGGCCACATGACATCTGCATGTTAAACTCCGTAGAAAGCAGTCATAGAAAGCAGCTCAAGGTAGGCAGGTGTAGCATTTAAGTCCCATGAGGAGAACGAATGCTTCCTGTTTCTTTGTCAGGAGTGACCGTTGTAGATGTAACAGTCTTATTAAATAAGAAACACAGAGCCAAATGCAGAGTTAAAAGCCTAAGTGGTCAGAGCAGTAGCTAAGATACTAAAAACCCTTTCTTACCCTTTGCTGTTGTTGTCATCCTTCCCCTCAGAAAGAGACCTACTTCCTGTCTTTTCATTGACTTTCTGTTCTGCCTTCTCATTGGTTGTAAACCCAGCCACATGACCTCCTCAACACTGCCTGTCTTTACAGACCTCTAGGTCTCTATGGTTGGTATTGAGATTAAAGGCGTGTGTCTCCATGCTGGCTGTATCCTTGAACACACAGAGATTTGTCTGTCATGTGATCGGGATTAAAGGTGTGCGCCACCACCACCTGGCTTCTGCTATGGCTTGCTCTTAGCTCTGACCCCTAGGCAACTTCATTTATTAACATACAAATAAAATGAGATTTCAGCACAAATATCACCATAGACAGTGATGGCCTTTCTAACTTCAGATGCTCTAGATGGACAGTGACCTATCTTCATGACATACCCTGTGAGGTATAACACTGAGCATGTTTCCTGTGTGCCCTGGCCATGCCTTTCCTGTGCACGCTGGCCATGTCTTTCCTTTGCACCCTGGCCATGCCTTTCCTGTGCACCCGAGCCATGTCTTTGCTATGCACTGAATGCATGTCTTTTGCAGGTGGGTATATTCTTTTCAAGTTCTTCTGATTATTTTAAAATTGATGCAGGTGATGCTTATCCATTTATGCAAGGTAAAATACTTGGCCAAATATTTGGGGTAAGACCATTCATGTGTGTGAACTGATAATCCTCCTCATGCTATTGGCTTGTCTTTTATTATTTTTAACCGTGTCTCTCGACAAACAAGTATCTTTCACTTTGACTTATAGATTAGCATTTTATTTTACTTTATATAGTTTGTACTTTTTGTGCCATACAGTGAAATCTCTGCTTATCCCCAAACTATTTGTTTTTCTTAAACCTTTGTTTTTTATCTTTAAAGCTGTGGATCTTCTCCAGTTTACTGTAATTTACAGTGTGATTTAAAATATTATTTATACCTGTATCCAATTATTTCAAAACATCGATAGTATTTACTGTAAAAGCTGTACTTTCTCTACCGATGACACTGGCAACGTCAGTCAAAAGTGGATAGATAACGCCTGTGTGTCTGGGCTTACCTCTCAACTGTGTTTCTTGTGTCTACCCTTGGCACAAGTTCTATCATGGCATCACTGTTGTAGCTACATAACTGGAAAACCACCTCCATCTCTGAGTAAGGAGATCTCAGCACACTCCCAAGGAATGAAGCTGAGGAAAGGACCCCATGGTTACAACAGAGCTGAAGGAGACTGACGGTGTGGACCAAAAGAATAAAGGACTAGCTGCCTCATGGCTTTGTTCACCGAGACTTGTACTGAGGTGGCCATGAAGACAGGTTCTGCCCTATCGGATGGGAGTCCCGAGTGGGAATATGCTGCTCTACCACCTCAGACCAACTGAGGGAGAAACAGGGAACCATATTCTATTATTTTTATGATTTGAGGAGTACTTTTAGTAAGAGTGCAAAACAATGGGTTCTGTTATGCAGTTTTCATGCGTGTACATCGTTGTACCTAGCTCTTATTCAACTACCCACTACCTTTCTCATTTTCTGCTCATCTTGCTGACCTCTGCCTCCTCCCAAGTCATCCAGACTGTTTTCATCTCTTTCCATATACACACATACATGTGTATGCATATGAACACATACATGTAAATATATTCATATAACACGTGAACAGTGCTTTAGAAAACACGATGTTTGGTTTCTTTCCCCCACTATCTTCTCATGTTCCCCTTCCCCATTGCTTTGGACTCTGCAGTCAGTTGGAGGCTGTCCTGTGAGGCAGAAAAGTCAAGATGGGTGTTTGTGATAAGAGAGACAAGTGAATGTGTGACTGTAGATCTGGCTCATTTCCCAGTCACCAGCTCCTCATCTCCCCTAACAGCACACCTTAAAACCAGGCTGTTCTGTCATCCATGTCTGTTATCTTCAGAGATTGTTGGGACTGGCTTGTACTCCCTATATATTCTTTGGATTCATTCACCTATTTCTGGATTTCTTCTTGGAAAACTAGCTGAAAGTCGCATTGGGATTGCACCAAGCCTCCAGTGAGGAGGGCCTCCCAGGTAGTGTTAACATTAGTTAATAACTTGTTAGACATTTTCTGTCCTACCCCTCAACTAACGAATCAGAAAATCCCGATGCTGCATGGCTTTCTCATGCATGACCTCTACAGATCATTTTAATCACCAGGAACATTGATGTCTTCTTTAAATAGCTGATTATATATATCATAATTTAAAAATGCAGCGGAACAAAAAGCCTGCCACGATTTCCCACAATCTCCGCTTCTCCTCCCACATCCTTGTCTGTGTTGGAGACCGAATTGTCACCATTTTTTATTTTTTTGTGTCTGAGCAAATTCTATGGCAGCTCACGTGGGGTGTGTGCGCTGGTGACAGAACCCCTCATCTTGTCTATCTGGAAGTCACTTTTCACAGTCTCTGAAATAATGGTGCGATGGTTAAGTTCATTCCTCAGCAGTTTCTTCCGCCTCGTGTGTCTCCTCATGGTGTCAGAAGTCATCCTGGCCTTTGTTTCCCTGAGTGAAATGCATCTTTCTGTGGGATTCGCTGCTTTTACGACATTCGCTTGTTCTTTCTGCCAGTGTTTGGTTGTGGTGCTGTAGTGTGGTGTCATTTGAACTGGTCAAGATTAGCCTCCACCGAGTTTCAATTAGATCTCATCCAATTGGAGCATGCTGGGGCCTTATTTTGTTGACTGTTTTTGTCAGTCTTCCAGTAAAACAGAGGATTGACTGTTACTGCCCCCCAAACCAGTAAGTCTCCATTTAAAAAATATTCTGTGTGTATGAGTGTTCCACCTGCACATCTGTCTGTGTACCTAATGTGTGTCTGGTGCCCAGGAAGGCCAGAAGAGGATGTTGGATTGCTTGGAACTGGAGTTATAGATGAATGAGAACAGTGATGTGATTGTTGAGAATCAAACCTAAGTCCTCTATAAGAGCAGTCAGTGCTTTTAACTGCTGAGCCATCTCTCCAGCTCCAATTCTCTATTTTTTTTTAAAATCATTTATTTATTTAATGTACATTGGTGTCTTGCCTGTATGTATGTCTGTGTGAGGGTGTCGGATTCCCCTGGAACTGGAATTACAGACAGTTGTGAGCTGCCACATGTGCTGAGAATTGAACCTGGGTCTTCTGGAAGAGCAGCCAGTGCTACCAAACACAGAACCATTTCTTTTTTTTTTTTTTTTTTTGGTTTTTCGAGACAGGGTTTCTCTTGTGTAGCTTTGCGCCTTTCCTGGAACTCACTTGGTAGCCCAGGCTGGCCTCGAACTCACAGAGATCCGCCTGCCTCTGCCTCCCGAGTGCTGGGATTAAAGGCGTGCGCCACCACCGCCCGGCCAGAACCATTTCTTTAGCTCCAATTCTTTTCCTTTGTCCTTAGGTTTGGAGAATTTTGGTTGCACGGCTTTCCAGCCAGCTCTCCTCTCAGCCTGCACTGCCCAGTCTTCTATTAACTATGTCTGTTGAATTGCTCACTTTTTACCTACTGTTTCTGCTCTAGAATTTTTATCCAGTTCCTTTTCACAGTTTACCTTTATTGTGGATTATTCCTTTACACTGTGTGATGATGTGTCACTGTGATTGGTTTAATAAAAAGCTAAACAGCCAATAGCTAGGCAGGGGGTATCGTAGGTACATCTGGACAGAGAGAGCTCCAGGAAAAAGAAAGGCAGAGTTGTCATTGAGAGGAGGAGGGGGCAGGATGGGCAATGCACAGTAAATGTAACTGAGCCACATAAAAGAGCACAGATTAAAAAAAATATGGATTGATATAAGTTATAAGAACTAGTTAGGAACAAGCCTAAGCTAAGGCTGAGCTTTTATAATAAACAATAAGTCTCTGTGTCATTTTTTTTGTGTGTGTGTATGTGAGCTGGTGGCCCAAAGAAAAATCTGCTTACATTGTTTCATCAAATTTTGTTTATATTTTTCTTCATATTTCACATGTAATGCTGATATCTCCTTACCCTTATCCACGTCCTGGATAGCTTCATTTCTATTTACTGATGTTTCCTGAAGGTTGGGTTTACTGGCTGTTCTACCTGCTAACTCACAATATGGAGCTTTTCAACACCACAGGTTGAATCTCTGGATCAGTCTGTGGGTCTCGCTGCTCGTTTTTATTTTTTATATGTAAGCACACTTTAATGTAGGTTTTACTCTACTTTGGTGGTGCTGAAATGTAGCCCAGTTCCCAAACACTGTTATTGAAGCAACATCTGGTGAGGTCTGGAGACACTGATGCTGGTTGTGATCATGGGAGGATGGGTAACATTGGCATTCAGTGAATAGAGACCATGTCATTTCTAAATACGGTGTGATATGTTGGGTCACCCTTAAATTATTAAATTTAAATGTGATTGTCCTGAAATTGACAAACTGATCAAAACCAGTATCACACTCATATTAACTGAGTCCTAATTCCTTTTCCCAAATACCTCTTTGTGCTGATTAGTTTTAATTGTCAACCTGACACAACCTGGAGTTACCTGGGAAGAGACTCTCAATGAAAGATCATCTAGATCAGGTCAGCCCATGGGCATGTCTAAGGGGGTTATCTTGATTACATTAATTAGGTTGGGAAAACCTGCTCATCATGTCACTGTGGGTGGCACTATTCCCTAGGCAGGGGATCTGGGGCTATATGAGTGGAAACATCAGGCTTAGCAAAGCACATATGCATCTATTGCCTTTTGTTCTTGACTGTGGATGTAATATAATTATCTGCTTTCAATTCCTGCCATATCATTTTCCCTGAAATGATGGACTATCACCTGAAACCATGAGCTAAAATAAACCCTTTCACCCTATGTTATTTTTTTCAGGATACTTTATCACAGTAATGGAAAAGAAATGAAGACATCTCTTTCCCCCTCAATCATAGCTAGATTGTCAATGATATTGCTACAATGTATTTAAATTTAATTAATTAAAAATCAAGTTCTAGTCAATGTCTTCCCATCAGTAGAAGCTAATAACTGATTTGAATGGAAAATTTTATATTGCCAAAATTACTTTCGTGTGAATGATACTGTCTTAGTTAGGATTATGTTTCTGTGATAAACACTATGACCACAAGAAACTTGAGGAACAAAGGGTTTCTCCACCTTATTGCTTACAATCCTTCATGAAGGGAATCTGGGACAGAAACTTTGGGCAGGAACCTGAAAGCAAGGATTGCAGTGGGTGTTGTGGGGGATAGTGTATTACTGGCTCGCTCCTCCTGGCTCACTCAGCTTTCTTTCTTATACAAGCACCTGTATCACCCACAGTGGGCCGAGCCCTCCAACATCTACCATTAAATAAATAAGTGCCGATGGACTTACCTACACGGATTCTAAGTGGAAATGTTTTCTCAACTGAGGTCCATCTTTCCAGATAACACTAGTTTGTGTCAAGTTGACAAACAATCAAATGAATGCAACAACCAGGACAAGTGACTCCTTGTCATCTTGACACAAAACACATCACCTTTCATTTCTTGCCTATCTCCAAGATGTCATATTATAATTAATATCACAATATATTATCACGTAAATACCTTTAAAAGTCCCAAGGTCTTTAAATATTTCAACACTTAAAAGTTAAAGTCTCGAGCCGGGCGGTGGTGGCGCACACCTTTAATCCCAGCACTCGGGAGGCAGAGGCAGGCAGATCACTGTGAGTTCGAGGCCAGCCTGGTCTACCAAGTGAGTTCCAGGAGAGGCGCAAAGCTACACAAGAGAAACCCTGTCTCGAAAAACAAAAAAACAAAAAAACAAAACAAAACAAAACAAAAGTTAAAGTCTCTTTAAAATATTTGAAGTTTCTAAAAGTCCTAAGTTTCTCAACTGTGGCTTCCTACAAAGTTACATACCTTCTTACTCCATGGTCCAAAGCAACTTGGGAAGGAAGGGGGTTATTTCATCTTACAGCTTGTAGTTCATCATCCAGGGAAGTCAAGGCAGGAACCTGGAGGCAGGAACTGAAACAGAAGGCACAGAGTAGCATTGTACTGGCTTGTTCCTCTTGGCTGGTTCAGTTTGCTTTCTCAAATACTCCAGACCCCTCTGCCCAGGGATGGTACCACCTATAGTGGGCTGAACCTTCCCACATCAATCATTAATCAAGAAAATGCCCTACAGACTTGCCTCTGAATCAATCTAATGGAGGCATTTTCTCATCACTCTCACTGATATGTCCCCCTCCTCCCTCCATATTCTGTATTTTTCCCCCACACTCCCTAATTAAAGCTACTCCATTTTTTTTTCATTTCTCCCTTCAGATCACTTGTACTCTGCTATTTCTCTTGTAAGAAATGCCACTTTCTTACAGGCTATAAGAAGAAATAACCCCTTCCTCCCCAAGCTAATTCTACCTTGTGTCAAGTTGACCAAAACCGACAGTAGACAGCAGAGTTACTACTGAAACATTATACAAAGTGTGATGCTATCAAATCTTATTATGTATAAAATGACCTGATATCAGCCATCAAAAAACATGGTCAGCCCTGAATTTTTAATTTTAACCAAGCTTTGGAGAACAGGGTCATCAAAGAGTTAAGCACTTTCTCATGTTTCTCAACCTAAATGTCCTTCAGCTTACACATGGATAATAAAAATGGGACACATATACATTATGGAATACCATTCAGCTGTAAAAAAAAATAAATATGAAGTCATGAAATTTGCAGGTGAAGGATGAACTATCAAAGATCATAGTCAATGAGGTAACCAAGACCAGAAGGACAAATACCACATGTTCTCTGCCATCTGCAGTTCTTAGTGCCAAGTCTTCAGATGTGAGAACATAACCTGGAGTAATGGCAGAATCTAAGACAGTAAAATGAGACCATGAGAGTGGGGAGAGATGGGAGAGAGATAGCAGGGTACAAATGATTTGAAGGGGGGGGAATGAAAAAATGGGGTAGCTTTAGTTAGGGAACAGGAGGGAGATAAATACAGAATATGGAGAGAGGAGAGTAAAATACCACTAAGAACGTTTGAAAAAGCCACAAGGAAGCATATTATTATATAGCTACATAAAATTAAATACAATACGTATAAGTCCATGTATACATATACTTGGACTGATGGTATTCCCACCAAGAGCCATAGACTAACAAAATCCCAATACCAGACACGAGAAGTCTGTTTTTGAGTTGTTAGTCATCGTTATTCAAGATTCTTTCAGAATATAAGAGGCAATCACTGTTGCTCTTGATCACCTTCAGAGATGTAAGGCAAATCCCTGCTGCTGGAGAAACCATGCACTCTGGACACAGGAACCATGGGAACTAAGTTGGGTCTGACCTGAAAGCATTCTCCCTGGCGATTAGCTTTTATGATATCAGAAGATGCTATGCAAGCTTCCAAGGATAGGAGACAACCAAGAATCCTACCTGTGACACCTATGAACCACAACAATGACAAGCATGACACAATATCACCATGGATACAATAATGGCATGCATACCTTTGTGGTAACCAACAACCAACATTGGTCTTAAGGCTCACTTAACAGGAGGGAAATCATGACTGGTACTGGAAGCCTGACTAACTACCCAGGGTTGGAGAGGTTGTGCATCTTAGAAAAGAGCTTATAGGCCGGGCAGTGGTGGCGCACGCCTTTAATCCCAGCACTCGGGAGGCAGAGGCAGGCGGATCTCTGTGAGTTCGAGGCCAGCCTGGGCTACCAAGTGAGTTCCAGGAAAAGGCGCAAAGCTACACAGAGAAACCCTATCTCGAAAAAACCAAAAAAAAAAAAAAAAAAAAAAAAAAAAAAGCTTATAATCATCCCTCTTCTCAAGCACTATAATTCCTAACTAAATTCTTAATATTTATCCTTCTGTTCACTGATAAGTATAGTTCTAAATCCATCACCAAAGAAACTCCTCTTTGCAACAGATATGGACCTCTACAGAAAATCACAACCAGTCAAAATGCAGAGAAAAAGATCATGTGACATTCCGTCCCGATTGGTACATCTGCAGTACAGCAGCACAACTCCTGACCCAAAGCACAAGGATCATTGCAGAAGAGGGGTGCAAGGATTGTAGGAGCCGGAGGACCAGGAGATCTGCTGGAGACTGTGTTCTAAGAATGTCAGAGAGGCTACATTTACAAAGACTCATCAATGTGGCTTCCTGAAAAGACCTGAATGGTGACACCAATAGACATACTAACATTGAAGGGGAAAGCTGTGGGGCCTCAACAGTAGACAAAGGCCTCCGGACAGCTAAGTAATACTGAAATCGTGAGAAATGGTCCTCCCCAGGGAAAAGTGCCTAAGTTGACTGTCCTGTGCTGGGTGGTCAGCCTTGAATCTATGAGTTATATACGTACAGGTAAGACTGTGTGGACTAAAAAGTTTGTTTCTATGTGTTTGGGTATATATATATATATATATATATATATATATATATATATATATATATATATATATATGTATATATGTATATATACACATATATATACCCAAACTATATATATATACCATATATATATGCATATATATAATATATATATTTCAAGAACTAAAGAAAGAGAGGTCATGAATTTAAGAGAGAGCGGAGAGGAAAATGAAAGTAGGAAGTGCAATAATTATATTATTTCAACAAATGTGAAATTATAAAACAACAAGATGGAAAACACCTAAGGAACAGTGGAGGTCAATCTCTGGTCTATGTGTGCACCTGCACACACACACGCACCTGCACACACACAGGCACCTGCACGTGCGCGCACACACACACATACACACACACACACACACACACACACACACACGCACCTGCACAAACACAAGCACCGGCACACACACAGGCACCTGCATACACACAGGCACCTACACACACATAGGCACCTGCACACACACAGGCACCTGCACACACATAGGCACCCGCACACACACAGGCACCTGCACACACACACAAGCACCCGCACACACACAGGCACCTGCACACACACACAAGCACCCGCACACACACAGGCACCCGCACACACACAGGCACCCGCACACACACAGGCACCTGCACACACACAGGCACCTGCACACACACAGGCACCTGCACACACATAAGCACCTGCACACACACAGGCACCTGCACACACACAGGCACCTGCACACACATAAGCACCTGCACACACACAGGCACCTGCACACACATAAGCACCTGCACACACACAAGCACCTGCACACACACAGGCGCTTGCCCACAATATATGCAACTGGACACATAAATAAATAAATGGACTAAATGTGGGGGAAATGTAATAAAGCTATTTTTTAAAGCTTTCTCATTCATTTGATACAAATAACATCAACCATTTTCTTCTCTTTTAACGTGAGTTAAGTATATCAATCCCTTCTCTTTTTTCCCTTTTATTAAACATATTCTTTTCTTGTACAATACAATCTGAATTCAGTTTCTCCTCTCTCTGCTACTCTCAGTTCTTTCCCACCCTCTCTTCCATCCAGATCCACTCCTTTTCTGTCTGTGATTAGAAAAGAACAGGCTTCTAAAAGATAACAACCAAACATGACAAAATAAAAGATAATAAGAAGCAAAAACTATCATATTGAAGTTGGACAAGACAGACCAACAGAAAAATAAAAGAGCCCCAAGAATAGGTACAAGAAGGCCTTGTCCTGCCTTAATAATAGTCTTACTACAACTTAATATGCCACGGTTGACAGGCACACATGGGAGGTCTGCACTTTTCTGAGGAGAAAGGAGAAGAAATGGATGGTGGGCATGGGAGGAAGGATTTGGAGAAGAGAAAGGGAGGGAGGGGAAACTGTGACCAAGTTGGGAAAAATTAATTAATTAATTAATTAAAAATTTATTCTGACCTAAAAAAAAAAAGAGTGGGTACAAGAATCAGAGACCCACTCGTTCACATCTTCAGGAGTTCCATAAAAGTACTAAACTGGGCCAGGCCAGGCAGTGGTGGCGCATGCCTTTAATCCCAGCACTCGGTAGGCAGAGCCAGGCAGATCTCTGTGAGTTTGAGGCCAGCCTGGGCGACCAAGTGAGTTCTAGGAAAGGCGCAAAGCTACAGAGAGAAACCCTGTCTCAAAAAACCAAAAAAAAAAAAAAAAAAAAAAAAGTACTAAACTGAAAGCTATTGCACACACACACACACACACACACACACACACACACACACACACCCCATATGTACATGTACATGTACATGTACATGTACATGTACATGTATATGTATATGTATATGTATGGGGCCTCTTGCAGACATGTGTGGAACCTGTCATTTCTGCTTCCATCTCTGTATCAACCTCTTTTTAATGCCAATTACTGGGTGACATGTCCCGCAATGTAGCATGCCTCTGGACCAAAATAGAGCGGATCTATTAGACAAAGAGACATAGTAACCAGTATTTACTTAGACTCTACTATGGAATCTCAAGTCACAGAACTGTCGCAACTGGATCCCTGCATGACACTGCTATCGTCATCCACCACAACTGCAGCTTCAGTTCTGCTCAAGTAACAATAGCAAGAACCTCACCTTTCTGTGGCGGCTTCATGCCTACAAAACTCTTTCTACCCCCAAGTTCTTTTTTTATGGTTATGCTTATTTATTCCTTGAAAAATTCATACAATTATACAATGTACCTTCATCATTTCCATGACCCCCACCTCTCTCATCGCTCCCCCCCATTCTCTCCCTATTGTGTCTTCCTTCCAATATTAAATTTAGATATTAAAACACTGAGTCCACTGAATGCTGCCCGTGGGTGCATGGGAGTGGGGTCACCCAGTGGGCATGGGCAGCCTTCCATAGCTACCCACAAAGGAAAGTGGGTCTCCCTCCCCTAGCAGCCATCAATTGCCAATAGCTCCTCAACCAGGGAGGCTGGGGAAAAATGTTTTCTTGTGCACATATTCTTGACCCATTCTGGTTCTGTTCTTATTT